AGAGAGACAGTGGGAGAAAGAGAGAATGTATTCACTTTTCCTCAGTCACCCTTTTTAATGCAAAGAATTCAATTCATACTTAGACATGGTTATTACACAGCCCTATTCACTCAGGCAGAATTGGTTTCCCTATTCAACTTTCACCATTTTACTTTTACCAATAATTGTTCATATCCTTTTACAGTGATTTATATACTATTGCTTTTTCTGTTCTTGTTCATAAAAGAAAATACGGTACATGAGAAAGGATTTTGTGGGTTCAAATCTATAAAGAGCTTAATTCTATATACCAAGGCCTTTTGTTTCAACCTGATCACTTGGAAATTTTACAGGGTCAAAAGGAACTATATAGATCAATAATCTATCCACCTTTCTCCCAAGAATGAGACTCAGGGCAATTTACAGTTAAACTGAGCAAATACCTTAAAACATAAATATAGTAAGAGCATTAAAAACACAATTTAAAAATACACCAAGAAAAGAAAATACAACAACCACTCAGTTAAAAACCCCTTCCATGGCAATCAAGGTCAGTTGCCAATGGTCTCTCTAGATAAAAACATGTGTGATTGCCAGTGGAAAAACTGGAGAAAGCCAGCCTGGCCTCCCTCAGAATGAAGTTCCAAAATCTGGGAGCAGCCAAAAAGATAGAGATAATGATGGTGGTGAGATGATGACAGTGATAAGGAAGAATCAATGCTTCTTTCAGGAATGATATTGAATAACTATACAATTGTGGTACAGAGCAGAGGTGCCATATTTTGAAAAGCCAAAAAGAGGACACATTTACCAAATGACTACTTCAAACCTGAGAGGCAGTGTGGTATAATAATGTGAGCACTAGGCTCTGACTCTGGAGACCAGGGTTCAAATCCCAGCTCAGCCATGGAAACCCACTGGATGATCTTGGGAAAGTCACACTCTCTGTTTCAGAGGAAGGCAAAGGCAATCCCCCCCCCCAAAGCAAAGCAAAGCAGCTTATTTATATACCGCTTCATATCACGCTATGGGATGTCTACGCGGTTTACAACTGTGAGCTGATTGCCCCCCAACAATCTGGGTACTCATTTTAGCGACCTCGGAAGGATGCAGGCCTGAGTCGAGCCTCAGCCCTGGCTGGTATTGAACTCGCAACCTTGTGGTCTATGAGTGAGTGGCTGCAGTACAGGCATTTAACCACTGCGCCACCAGGGCCGAACAAATCTTGTCCAAAAAAAAAATCATAGGTTCTCTTTAGGGTCACCATAAGTTGGAAATGACTTGAAGGCACACAACAACAAACTTCAAACCAACAATAATTATGATGACTCTCACCTTATATATCCCTCCTGTCCAGGAAAAAGAGGATGTGCTGAGCTGAGGAAGCACATTCCCTGCCATCCCTCCCCAGAGTTCAATTTTTCTAAAGGCAGCATTGGTTCTCCCTGCATTCCTTCTACCGGATGACTGCACTGAAGGCTAAATATGTGGAGAAACAACTTCCAATTACCCAGTAAGTTATGATTCTTCTTTAATGTCAAAAATAATGGAAGTGGGGAAAGGTGCATATGACACATGAAGGCAGTAATGAAAATAACACCAGAGAAAGCAGCTTTCTGTCTTCTTGGAAAACATGTTCAAAAGCAAGAAACTTTCATCCCAGTTAATCATAGGGCTGGAAATGGCTGAATTGTTCTCAAATACAACCTTGTTATCAGTGCCGCTTTCCACAGATTTGGAGAGGACATGCAGGTCATTATAAATTTTGACTACTTTCAGATGTGTTTTTACAAAACAGTTTTAAAATCATCATCATCCAGCCAAAGCAACTAAGAATTTGACTACTATTAATTTTTAATGGCCAATAATTAATGAAATATTACAAAATTAATAAACAAACAAATAAACAATTAAGATGAATATGTACATCCCTATTATGTGTGTATGCCTTCAAGTCACCTGTTGACCTATGGCAACCCCATGATTTTATAAGGTTTTCATAGGTGAAGAATGCTGGATAAGTGGTTTTGTCAGTTCATTCCTCTGAAATATAGCCTACAGCACTTGGTATTTGTTGGTAGTCTCCAATCCAAGTACTAACCAGAGCTTCCATGATCAGACAGCATCTGGTTCCTTTAAAGTCAATCTAAACCACCTTGAACTCTGATTGGATGCCTCCCCATCCAATCCCCTTTCCCCCTTTGCCACCCCAGTGAGTAAGGAAGAAATTTTAAATGTGTGCATGCATGTGTATACACAGAAACACACACACATGACGGAGAAAGAAAAAAATAAAATTGTATTTTATTTATCTTTTATTTACGAAAATGTCCAGCCATGAGATCAGCATTTAGACTGGGCTATCCCCTCTCTCCCCCCCCCCACCCACCCAAGTGTCATATTTATTTTTACTGTTTTTATTCTTCCCTCTCCAATCCTCCCCTCCCCATCAGCATTGTGTCCTCTTTGTTTTTACTTCAGTGAATGGAGTGCACACATGCCTTCATCCCCATTCTGATCCTACCCTCAACATTTACTTGCTTACATGTGAGAAGATCTCACACATTCTCTCCCTCTGAATCCACCCCCAAACAGACATTGCAGATCTCTGCATGAGTGAGCAAACAAATGATCGTGTAGGGGAAGGATTGAAGGACAAAAGCCTTAAACCAAAGATCATACAACATTGATTGGGGGAAGGATCAGTGCAGGGGGAAGAGTAAAAAGTAAAAACAAATGTTACACTGGTGGGAGGAGAGGCGGGGGATAACCCAATCTAGCTCCCTTCACCACATGGCTGAACATACACTGAAGTAAAAACAAATGGCAATACAAACCAGGCTTGCAAACCTAACAAGTCCTGCCTAAGAAAAACTTCACCCACCCACTCCCAGTTCCACACCAAAGCTTTCTCGGAAAATCTGAACTTTTAGAAAAGGTTTGGAGTAAAAGGGGACTTTTAAAAAATGTGGATTAAAGCCTTCTGAACTGCATTCTCCTACACATTCACAGCAACTTCCCTGTTAATTAAGAAAATGATGTGCCCCGTCTTGTGGCAATTGCAAGGTGAGTGTGTTGTTGTTTTTTATCTGTGTAGACAAGCTCTAGGACTTGAAAGAGTAGTTATGAACAAACCAGACATTATCCTGGAGTGTCAGGATGTATCATTGAATGCTAAAGTTAGAGTTATCCATGTCATTGTATTTCTCATTTCTATGAATGTTTGTGAAAGCTGTACAGTGAAGAAAACCAATAGGATGAATACCAACTCATTTGAAATGTGGTGCTTGAGAAGAGTTATGTAGATGCCATGGACTTTTTTTTTTAAAAAAAAAAGGGTCCTAGAGCAAATAAAAGTTGAAGTATGAAAAAAGGAAGACCACATTACAGATGGATAGACTCAGTCAAAAAAAGCCACAACCCTGAATCTGCAAGACCTGAGGAGGAGTGTTGATGATAGGATAGGTCTATCATTCATAAGGTTGTCAAGATCATGTGACACCCTGGTCTGGAAAATAACATGGATGAAAGGAACACTGAAAGGAACTGAAGCAATGGTAACAGGGTTACTACAGTTCAAGTGGCAAGAGTCAGCATTTGGTAAGCTGTGCATCATGGGAGGTCTGATGCAACATGCACAGTAGGTGAGACCAGCCAGGTATGCTTCATGGGAGGTCTGATGCAACAGGCACTGGGGATGAAACCAGCCAGGTTTCATTAATGCATGGCTGTCACATGTTCCCACGAAGACCACCTATATATGGAAGAGAGTCAGAATCTCTGATGTTGGTTAGTTGTGGTTGGTAGTTGGCAAAGCATTTTGTTGGTCTGTATAGCTGTGAGTATTCAAGACTGGTACTCTATGTATCTTTGTAAATATTTGCAACAAAGATTAAAGCCCTCATTGAGTGAAGTCTCGCTGTCCAGCGATTCATTTCTCCAAGCTGAAAGCAGCAGCCTGCATGTGGGAGGATTTTTCCTGTGCCATCTGGAGCAAGATTCTTCACAAAAGACCAGCTTCTGGGTGTTCCTGCCTACGTGCATCAACTTTGCGAGTGTGTATGCTAGATCCTGCCTGTCTGCATACTTGTCAGTTCTGAGCAGACTCAGCTCTCTGTGTAGCCAGTAAACCAGCCAATTGTTGCAATTAGGAGTTTATTGAAGAACACGAAGACAGTAATCCACAGACTACGTTTAAGCCAGAACTAACCTCCCTTCCAACAAGCACCTAATTAAACCCCACTAACTAATTGCTCTACCCCTCCTTTCATGGTGCGAAAACTAGCACCCACCTACAATTCCCACAGCTAGCCATTTCACCATTCCAAGCGGCCCCCACCTTATCAGCTACATACCCCTCCTATTCCCAGGTCCAGCTAACTCCACACTGTACCAACCTCCTCCCACCAGCAATGCATTCCAAGAGGCCCAATTTCCCAAAACAACCTCAGATTTATGACCTCCCATCCCCCAAGCTACTCACAGCCCTCTATGCCTGAAACCTATGCTACTACCCTAAGCCCACTATTAGCCCCACCATCATCCCCACCAAACAAGCCATAACCTGGCAGAACATATGCACGCAGGCCAACAAAGGTCCCCATAAGTCCAAGTTGACTTGACAGCAGATAACAACAAGGGATGGAAAAGGAAGATAAAATGGTAATCAAAATGACTTAAGCCTGGACTAAATCACTTATGAAGGTAGATAGCAATGATTGGGGCTGTTTAACTTGCGGGGGGGAGAAGACATGATAATCCTAGAAACCAACGTACTCTGTTGGAATGGAACAGTGTGAGATTCAGATACAAGTAGGTACAAAGAGCATAGTGGGAATTCACTGCCACAAAATGTGATGGCACCCAATTTAGATGGCTTTAAAAGGAGACTTGATAAATTAATGGAGGATTGGCCCATCTTCTTCTTCACTTCTGAGAGGGTTCAGCTAGATAGGAGTGTTGGTGGTCAATTCTGCCTAATTATTTGGGGGAAATCTCATCCCTTTCTTGGGTGGGTTGGGCCCTCCCTTCTCCTTTTAGTACCAGAATTCACAGTGTTTTCAGTACCAGAGCTCACAGTCTTTTCACACCAAAATCCATTTTTGATTGCCTCGTGCTTTCAGATGCCTAATGCATGGGCGATTATTGCTGTTGCTAAATGTTTGGGAGCAGAGGTATCCCCTGGTTCAAGCAACCAGAACTCCACATCTTGAAATGGCAAGGTGAGGCACACACATGGCATCCCACTTCAATGACCAACCAACTGAGATTGGATGTCAAAACCACTGTAGACAATGCATACTTGGAGTAGTAGTTAAGTGTTAAATTTAGATGAGGGAAGCTTACTTTCCTGACATTGAAAGCCCCTAATAATATATAATAATAATAAAATTTATTTATATACCGCCCAATGGTAACCCAATCCGGGCGGTTTACAGCATAAAACACAATTTATAATAAACAGAATGCCCTTTCCCCCCCGCTTAAAACGTTATTAAACAGTAACATAATTAAAATCCAATTAACAAATTAAACAAAAAAATCATAAAAATTAAAATGATTTAAAAGGTTTAAGACTTGGTGTACATTGATCAGTGGTGGCTCATGGCTCCCATGTCAGTGGGATGGTCAATCTATGCTGCATTTTAATCTAGGCTTGAAAGGGGTCACTGTAGTGGTGACTGGTGATTCCCATGTCAGTGGAGCAATTAATCCAATTCAAGTTATGGCTAGCTTTCATTAAACTCTCCAAGGTGGTATTTAGGAAATTTTTCCTAAAGATATTCAGCACCTTCTGTAGCACGACAATGGAGCAGTGCTCGCATCAAATATGCCATGCTCCATGCGCTTATCTACCAGTATAAAGAAGCTGTGAAGATGCCAAGGTAAGGAGGGGTGATGACAGGG